ATAATATTTGGCCAGGGTTCTATTATTTCTTACAATTTCATGTATATATACCCTAACTTTTATAAGCCTCGTATAGACTTCCAGACTAGGTTTCAAGTACCTGCCTCCAAGTATTGTTTTTACAATGGGAACAAGAAGGAGATAAGGATTTCATGTGACTTCTGACCAGGTTGATACCACTGTTAGAAAAGAGCAGCATGAAGCATTTTGGAAATTTTCTGAGCGTTCTGCTTCATTGTTTTAGTAGCATTGCCTCTAGAAATATATATTCTTTAAATTTGAATTTAAATTAGGAAAATTGGGGGGGGGCGGCAACTGTTCTGAACTAAAGCATGGGACAGAGTAAAAAAAATAATAACCTGAGAGCTGAATCTATAACATTGTGCATGAGGAGGGAAGGGAATTAACATTTATAGTACTTTTATTGTTTTTTCCTACTGTTTTCAGATTTCCTTTGCAGAGCAAGAAACTTACATATTAAACAAGCTCTTGTTTTTGTAGAAAATAAGATAAGAAATAAGACTTCTTTAATTTGAAAGAATGTGGTTGGTGAATTTGATTAAAATATTTTATATATGAAAAAAATAATTTATAACACTATGTTAAAAAGTAACAATAAAAAATAGTTCATTAGTTACCAAAACTACAGTAAATGTTAATTTAACAGATTCCATTGATACTTAAAATATTGTAAAATGGTATCTACTATTTATTGAATTCTTATATTTACTATGCACTTTATATTCAGTAATGGTAGATTAACTTACAGTTTTCTTTCTCATCATGATAGCATGATCTACATTATAGCAACCAAACTACAGCACCTTTTATTTCTAGTTGGAATCTGTTTTGTTCCCCTCATTTCCCATTTTTCCTACCCATGATATGGTATCATGAAAAAAATGTTAACTATTAAACGTAGAAAATTAGAGAAAGCTAAAGCGTGTAATTCAACATAAGTACTAATTTAAAATCCTTTCTCACGTAGTCACATTGACTTCAGCCAGTTTTAGTCTGTTTTATTATGACCTTTTTTTTTTTGAAACTTAGAAACAAGCATAAAATGTTTGTATAAGCACAAATATATTTTTATTATTCCGTATAACATTTAAATCCCCAGGTGGATGTATTTGCAAATAAATTAATTGGGATCATTAATAATCATTGTTCATATTATTAACCCTTTTTTAATTATCGATCAGTAATGCTGTCCTGTCTGTTTGAAAAGACTATTCCAGATCACTACTTAAGTAATGATATCTGACACATCAGCAAAAATCTAAATGCTCTTGTAGGGAAGGAGAAACTTCTCCTTTATCCTCTTAGGTTCTGTGTCTCGGGCCTGCAAGTCAAACTGAAAAAAGAGAGATTAACAGTAGAAAAGGTCTATTTCATATGCACACAAGGGAGGAGGGGCTCACAGCAGATACATGAAAACCCCAAAGAGGCAGTTTCATCCAATACCTTATATACCACTTTCACAGAGGGTGATAAAGTGTGCTGAAGGGAGCAGACAGAGCAAAAGGGGTTTGGGCCTTGGAAGGGTTAGGGTGAGTTGTGGAAAGGTGATTAGGAATTGTTTAGTAAATAAGAGGTTTTTGGTAAGGTTTATTATGCAGACTCCAGCTATCTCAGTTGATAAGAATTGTCCCTGAAGTCATTGTGTTCTTCTCTCCCTGTTATGGGAGGGGACACCTTTACAAAGGGAAATTTATGCACTGCTTTGAGGTGAAAGGGGGAGGGCTCATTGTTCCTTCCGTGTTTGGGGTTTCTTAATCGCATTCAACTCAAAATAATCCTTATGTTGAAGTGGTATATTCTGTTCCCCTTCACTTTATAGATAAAAGAGAAAAAAGAGTTAGTTTAAACTTGTTTTATTTGATATTGCCATTATGGAAAAGCAGAAAAAGAGGCAATTGTTTTGTCAATTTATTTTGGACTTACTGCCTATTATAACAGTACTGTATTAAGCATCCAATGTTTACCTAATTTCCTTTAATTCAAAGTTCTTTTGGGTAAAGCAAAATAGTTATTCATCAGTGTAAGACCTAATCAGTTGTGTTATGAAGATGACTACTTAGGCAATCAATGGAAGCATATTGTGCACTTAATGAGGGACTGTCAACTAATCAGTATTGTCTCGGGTTGTAACACCCGTTGGACTGCTGCACCATTTAAGGCCACCAGTGCATCAGCCACACCAGTTCTTTGTACTGGTCCAGAATTTTCATCATCAAGTAGAGTGTATTCAAGAACTTTCCTTTCTTTTTACCTCATTCCCATCCTTTCAGCCACCTGCAAAGATCTTACGATTTGAGGGACCCCATTGGGAGGACTATATCCTAATGTGCCTCAGACTCTTAATATTAAATTACACAAAAGTTAATCTTGATTTGTTTTTTAAAAGTGATAATCAGCTGTATCAGCAATGCATAAATGCATTCTTTATTTAAAAAATTATATTACAGTTAATACTGAAGTCTCTCTTTTGCTTTCCCAATGGGCCCATCAGTTCAGTTCTCCCCAACCTTCCTGGAAGGAAACCATTTGAATTTGGTATATATTTTTCCAGATATCTGTCTAGTCTCTAAATATATATTAAAGTATTAGTGTACATGGGCTTTTCCTAATTGGTGTCATACTGTATAATTATTCCATAACTTAGGTTTGTATTCAGTGGTTTGTTTTGGTGACTTCTTCACCTTAGTCCCTATAGATCTACATCATTCCTCCAAACTGCATTTACTATAAATCAGCTTACTTATTCCCCTATTGGTGTATATTGGTATAAATATATTTATTTTCATTTTAAATTTTAATAATTTAAAATATTTTTTAATCTCATTTTATTTTTTAATTTTTAAATTATTGAAGTATAATTGATATACGTTGTTATATTAGTTCAGGTATACAACATATTGATTCAACAAGTCTATAGGTTACTCAGTGCTCACCACAGTAAGGGTAATCACCGTCTGTCACCGTGCAGTGTTATTACGGTATTACTGACTATATTCTCTATGCTGTACTTTTTTCTCCATGACTTATTTTATAACTGGATTTTGTATCTCTTTTTTTTTTTTTTTTAAAGATTTTATTTATTTATTTATTGGAGAGCGAACGAGAGAGAAACAGCATGAGAGAGGAGAGGGTCAGAGGGAGAAGCAGGCTCCCTGCTGAGCTGGGAGCCCAGTGTGGGACTCAATCCCAGGACCCTGGGATCATGACCTGAGCCGAAGGCAGTCGCTTAACCAACTGAGCCACCCAGGCACCCGAGGATTTTGTATCTCTTAATCCCCTTTATCTATTTCACCAATCCCCTCCCTTGTGCTCCCCTCTGGCAACCAGGAATTTGTTCTCTGTATTTTAATAATCTGTTCATTTTGTTTTTTAGATTCCACTTATAAGTGAAATCATATGGTATTTGTCTTTCTCTATCCAACTTATTTCACTTTGCATAATATCTCCATGTTATTGCAAATGTCAAGATCTCATTCTTTTTTCTGGCTGAGTAGTAGTCCATTGTGTGTGTGTGTGTGTGTTTGTGTGTTGTGTATACCTCATCTTCTTTATCCATTCATCCATCAGTGGACACTTGGACTACTTCCATAACATGACTATTGTAAATAACACTGCAATAAACATAGGGGTACATATATCTTTTCAAATTGGTGTTTTTCATTTTCTTTGGGTAAATACCTGGTAGTGAATTACTGGATTTTATGGTATTTCTATTTTTAATTTTTTTAAAAAAGTAAGCTGTATGCCCAACATGGGGCTTGAACTCATGACCCCAAGATCAAGAGTCACATGCTCTACTCACTGGGCCAACCAGGTGCCCCTCTATTTTTAATTTTTTGAGGACACTCCATACTGTTTTCCACAGTGGATGCACCAGTTTGCATTCCCACCAACAATGCACAAGGATTCCTTTTTCTCCACATCCTCACCAAAACTTGTTGTTTCTTGTGTTTCTTAGTCTAGCCATTCTGGCGGGTGTAAGGTGATATATCTTATTGTGGTTCTGATTTGCATTTCCCTGATAAATTAGTGATGTCAAGCATCTCTTTATGTGTCTGCCATCTGTATGTCTTCTTGGAAAAATGTCTATTCAGGTCATTCAGAACCCAGTTGAAATGTCACCTTCTCAGGGAGGCCTTTCCTGACCACCCAACTTAAATACCTCATTAGCCCTCCCCTTTACATTACCCATTCTTATTTTTATTGTAGCACTTATTACTACTTTCTATTTTCCCTTTTTTTCTCTTGAAACTTCTTGTCTGTCTCTGAGTTTCAAAAGAGTAATGACAGTTTTTGTCTTATTGCAGCGATATGTCCCCTTCTAGGTAGGACAGTGCCTATCACACATTTGACATTCAGTAAATGTTTCTTGAATGAATGGGCCAAATACTCTCGTTCAGTCTACCCCAGTACAAATTCCTTAGAATCTTTTCTGCAGGGTTTTTCCTTAGCCACAGCCAGTACACCTGATGTGGAACGCTGTGGGGAGGACAGGGATAAACTCTGGTGAGGAAAGAGCTGATAGGAGGAAAAAAGGACAAGATTATACTGAGTTGTGAACAGAATGGAAAATATGGAGTAACAGGAAGGGAGAGGAAGCCACAATCTGTTCTGACACAATTGTGGCATTAAGTTTTTGATGTTTTATTTTACTTTTTGAATAAAGTGATGTAAATATTTTTTCAGATTCATAAAATCCTCGAAACGAAAGATTAAATTTAATCCAAGTATTTTTACATACACAGCCCTTTTTAGATAAGAAATAGATCTGAGAGATGAAGTGACAAGTCAAAATGGCTTGATGATAGACAAGATAAATGAACCTGCTGATAGACATGGGACTCCAGACTCTGATGTTTTGAATCTTATTCTAATTCTTTTTCTTAGTATATGCTTTAATTTGCCACATATACAAAATGTTGAGTTAGGTTCTGAACATTTGCATTTTCACAAATATCTTTTTTTTTCTTCCCAAACAGGTAGAAAACAGACCAAAGTATTATGGAAGAGAGTAAGTATGGATTATGAGAAAACATTTTATAGATTGGAATATGTAAGAGAGACAGGTAAATGGATGCTTCTGCTCAAAATAAAAGCAAGATAAAGGAGGTATTCAAGTTTGAATGAGTTAAATTTATTACAAATATAATTATTCTAATTGGTGAAAATAACGGAAAATAACGTATAGAGAAGAAAATAGCATGGAAAAATGTATGTATGGAATGATGTTAAAAGAAAGATGCAATATAAATAAATAATCCTAGATGTGTATGAGGAAAATGTATATATTTGTGTGTATATGTATATACTAAGCATATCAATGTATATTCACGTAGGTACGTACAGCAGGGTGGGGTGGTTCAGTGTATTTTTACACTTTTCTTTATTTTCCAGATTTTCTGTAAGTAAATTTATGCTATGCAGAAATAGCTAGTGTTAATAGTCTGAAGTATTACCTTCTGAGGATCTATTTTCCTAATGGTTTTACAAAATTGAGATTTTATACATATAATTTTATAGCCTGATTTTTCCACTTAGTATTAATAATATTTTTCTATTCTGTGAAAAATGTTGTAATAACTTTTCAAATGCTTAATTTTTCTGATTATTAAAAAAATGAAATATAGCCCTTGGGAAAGAAGAAAAAAAAATCACCTATAATCCCATCATTCCTCAAATAAAATCCTTTGTTTTTCAAGACTTAAGATCGTATCAGATACACAATGATGTATAGAGCAAGTTTTTTAAATTTTTAAAAATTCTGTTTAAGTTTCCAAGACTTTTGTGAATAGAACATAGGCGCTTACGAGTTGGCGGGGAGCCACTGATGTTTTTTATGGTTGTACCATAATTTAATCACTTAGCTGCTTTTTGGCATTTAGTTTGCTTCTAAACTATATTATTAAAAATAATACCATCAGAAACATCGTAGTGCATAAAGCTTTTTCTGGGGTGGAAATTTTGGTTTAAATGATATGAACAGTTTTATAGTTCTTTAAATATCCTTGTCAAGTTCTGTTCCAAAGTTTGCGTCCTTGAATGTGATTTTCTTTTAAATTAATTGAGTTTTTAAAAACAAATATTAAATTTTACTAACTTTATTAACTGATTTCATGTAAACTTAAAACAATATGCCAATATGCTAATCTAATGGTATGTGTTACCACCAGTGGTAGGTTACTGTCTTCTTGCCTCCGGCAGAGTCTGAGGAATCTGGTTCCCAACGATTGAGAAATATATGGAGATACGAAATTCCCAGAGTCCACTTTTGAACCTAGCTGCTCTGATTGTCATGATTTGAACATACATACCATGAACTGTTTTGAGACTTAAATTGAGAAAGACTGAACCATCCTTATGAGAAAAACTCCAAAAGCTTGCCACTTTGCCCTCTAGTAAAGTTCCTAAATTATTAAGGTGGCACTTCAGGGCCTTTTAAATACATCATTCCAAAATCAAGTGACTGCTGTTTTTTCATACCAGTAAAAACCACAAAGTTTCACTTGAGCAATCCCTCAATTCAGTTATCCTTGAATTACTGAAAGGACATAATGTATGTGTAAGTTCTTTGTAAATTGTAATTGTAAATCACCATATAAATATAAGATGGTTTTTTTCTTTTTAATAGTAATCATCTGTCACCACTGACATTTTTTTTCTTTTTCAGTGTTTCATGTCAGAATGCTATAGATGAATCTGCTGTCTTGGTGTAAAGAATGTGTTATTTATATTTTTTCTTCTTCATGCCTTTTCCCCTGTTAATCGAAAATAAGGTTTTATCAGGGAGTGAAAGCAAGTATTACGGTTGTTTGCTTTTGGCTTGAGTATCCAGTGATGCAGATTATGCACATTATTGGGCAATCATGCCAATTAAGGGCAACCCAGGGTCCTGGAAAATTGCCAACTTAGACTGTGAGCCAGAATTCTGGAGCAGTGCCATTAGCATGAAGGAAGGAAATGGGACACATTGCTGTGTATTTTTTAGTATGTCCATATGGTCAGACAGCTACATCAGAAGGGAATTGTCCTCTTGAGAGAGGTGGTTGATCTTCCCTTAGATGGATGTGGATTTTGATTTCACAATTGTTAAATGGATTGGAGAGCTACTTTGGTGCGGTTCTTGTTACCACAGAGAAGCTGGCCAGGGGCCAGGCCCAGAAAAACACAAGCAGAGTTAAGCCCAACTGCTCCCCTTCGATTATATGGCAGTACTTTGTCTAGAAAACAACAGGACAGGGTGGAGGGTTTTGTTTTATCTTGCTTTACTGACAAAAGGTGGAAAGCATTCAGTTTCTGAATTGACTTTTTTCTTAGGTTTCACGGCATGATCTCCCGAGAAGAAGCAGACCAGCTCTTGAGTGTGGCTGAGGGGAGTTACCTTATTCGTGAGAGCCAGCGTCAGCCGGGAACCTACACTTTGGCTTTAAGGTTGGTCATGGACCTGTAATTATAACTGTGCTTCATTTAAAACCCTCTTAATAGAGGGCTTTAAATTTTAAAAGCATCCAGCATGTAATTGAATTGGTTCTTGTTTTCTTGGGACCTAATTACCATTTTAATAGCTTTGAGACCCTTAAAAAATTCCTCATGAATGGTAGCACTCAGTAATTAAGAACTGAAAAACTTTTAAAGCATTTTTATTGTAGCTGCTTTCTTCTATTTCATCTTACCCGTTTTCTCCCATCTGTCCTGCTGTGTCAGCTCCCATATATTTCTTGAATAAGGAAAGAAACGAAGAGAAAAGATCTTTGTAACTCATAAAATTAAAGCCAATATCATTTCTCTTAGGTTGGCTTTTGATTGAAGCAGTTTTTCTTGGGAGCTCTTGGCTCTTTCCTGTCAGCTGAACTTTGCCTAGTATTTGGCTGTTCTTATCTTACAGTACAGTGCCCAGACACAAATATTTCCATTAGCCCTGCAATAACAACAGAACAGTAATACGATAGCATGCTTATCCAGTGGGCTTACTTCATGCCAAGCCTCAAACCTATTTAATCTTCTCAGCAATTCTAGGATGTATGTCCTGTTACGATCTCCACTTTACAGAGAAGGAAACCGAGGACCTGGAGGTTGAGTAAAACTCGGCCAGGGTCATACATTTAATAATTTGTGTAGCTGATATTTGAATGCAGATAATCTGGCTTCAGAGTCTGTGTTCTTAGTCACTCTCCATTGCTGCCTCTCCAAAGGCTTGGAATAATTATCCATTGTCTTTGTGCCTTCATTCATCTTTGGAAAAGACTTAAAAGTAGAAACTTCCTAAGAAGGAGGTCATAGACATGGCAATTTCTTTTGGTAGCCACAAGGAGAGAACAGGAAGATGATGTTGTTGCTCTAGTATGACCATGTGGAACTCCTCCAATCGCTTATGCCTGTTTGAGCAGGGATTGCTCTTAATCCCATCCACAAGACTTAATCTTCTTGATGAAAAGGATGATATAATCCAGTACTGTTGTCTACTGAATTCTGAATCAATTGTATACTTGGAGAATAAAGCTTGTTACAGGCATGGAAATTTGCTTTTTATGGCAAATTATAACGTATAAATCCCTCTTCACTTATTTAATTATGTTGTTTCTCAGGTTTAAATTATGGTATACAGGGGGAAAAAATCTGGGCTGGAAATTCAAATACTTACTCATTTTACCACCAAATGAACTAAAGACAGATTCGGCGTAAATCACAGAATTCCCTTAAGTCAGTTTTTTCCTCTTTCTATGCCAAACATTTTGTAATTCTAGGATTCTGCAATACCCCATTTCCAAATAGTCTGGTTGTCTGTGTGGCTGGGGTAAATGAGTGTACATGTAAAGACTTATGGACCAGAATAGTGAAGAAGGAAGTGGGGTGAGGGAGAGACAGATATCTGCACAACACTCTCTTCCTTTCCCCTTTTTTGCCATCTGCCCTAAATCCCTCCTAGATCACATAGTAAGTTACAGAACTGAATTTGAGCTCAGTGTCGCCTCACTGCAAGGTTCAGGTACTTTCCACTCATCTTCTAGCGTGGCTGTCACTCACTGTTCACTGAATGACATCAGTGAACACCCTAGGGTCAAGGGTTTAGTGTGGAGAAAGTAGCACACAAAGCTCCCAAGCTCTTCCTCCTTCCTACCTGTAGGAACTGTAGGAATACATTCACTGTATTCCTACACTGTAATTTTATAATTACTTCCCATCTACTTCAGTCCAGGAAATCTGAGAATAGAATTTGGAGCATAGATGAGCATGAAATTGATGGGAATGTTTTTAATTCATATGTCTGGAGGAAACATACAGCCTTCCTTTTGTTATTGAAAATGACCCTGAAACTGTACATGGAAAAAAAATAGTAATGAGTAAAAGGGGCTATAGTGGGAGTAGGGAATTTGTGAATACACATTGTGAGTAATTTATATGCTGAAATATGATCTTCCTTGTTTTGAACTAGATGTGTAGCAGGGAAGTGTTAAGGAGAATATGAAAAGAAGTCATATCAATATATTTGATACTCCCCATTTCAACTGATGATTCTCCCAATTCACATCAGTTTGTTTTGTTTTCAACATAATGTATGATCTGTTTGGGGGAGCCAGATTCATAATTTATGGCTGTCAATGTTCATTATGCATTTACCATGTTAACCATAGGCCCTAATGTTAGGAACAACAAGTCCTTGAAGTCAAGTTGCTCCTTTGGCAACTTGATGTCCAAAATTGAGCTCATTAGTTTTCCTCCCAAATATGCTGTAACATCTATATTCCCTTTATTAGCTGATGACACTATTACTTAGTCAGCCCACAAGACCGAAACTAAGACCTCACTCTTCTTTTTTCTCTTAGTTTTATTTTAAGATGTCTGTAGGCCCTGGCACTACTGCATCTAGAGGCCTTCACCTTACATCATATCAGACACTATATCCCATATCAAATATTTTTTTGGTGTTAAGATTGTTTAAGGTTTTTTAACAATATAAGTTGCTTTTGAACATGGGAGGTCTTCTGTAGTTAACATCTTACTTTTCTCTTGAGCACCATATTCTCCCATACCCGATCTGAGCCTGAATTTCAGGCCAGGTTTTTCTGGCTTTTCTGCCTTTGCTCATATTGACCCCTTGGTTCAAGAAAAATGATTATTGCTCAATGAAAATTTTTTTTTCGATAGAAGCATACGGACAAGCATCCACGTGGTTAGAATGTGTAGTTGAAGATAAAATGCTAGCCCAAGCACTAGATTATACTTCATGTAGCATGAAGTAGTTCAGTGACTTTGGGATTTTCTGTGTATTGATTTTGACAACATTTGGATTAGTTGTAGTTTAAGTATACATTGTAACTATGAGTTATAAAAAAACTAAGATAATCTAAGGAGTTTGGTTTTGAAAATGTTTTTTATGGTTTTCATAGTTTAGGACTAATTCTTTAAAAATATTTTAGGTCATTATATAATTTTTCTCACTAGAAGAAAAAAATTAGGTTCAGTGTTATATAGAGTGACAAATGAAAAGGGATAGGACTAGTGCATGTTTTATATTGTCCTTTTTATTAAATGTTAAGAATATACAAAGGAATACTTACAAGAAATATAACAATTATTAAATAACAATTACAAATAACTGTAACTCTTATGTGCCCAACCTGTATTTTAAGAAACAGCTATTGCCTTTGAGTCTCATTTGTACTGTCTATGCCTCCCCTAATCCTTCCTTCTTCCTCCTGTCCCTCACACTGGCTAACCTATCCTGATTATCTTTCTCTTATTTTTCTTTATAGGCTTATAACGTATGTTTGTATCCCTACATAATACATTGTTTTGATTTGTTCATTTTTGAACTTCAAATAGATAGGACATGTAGAATGTATTCTTCAGTTTTTTTCTCTCCACATTATATTCCTTATTGTAGAACATGGCTATAATTCATGTATTTTCACTGCTATATATCCACTAAATAAATATAGCATAATTTATTTATCCATCCTATTATTGATGGACATGTGGGTGGTTTCTAGTTTGGTGCTGTTAAAAACAGTCTTGCCGGGGTGCCTGGGTGGCTCAGTCGTTAAGCGTCTGCCTTCGGCTCAGGTCATGATTCCAGGTCCTGGGATCGAGCCCCGCATCGGGCTCCCTGCTCGGCGGGAAGCCTCCTTCTCCCTCTCCCACTCCCCTTGCTTGTATTCCCTCTCTCGCTGTGTCTCTGTCAAATAAATAAATAAAATCTTTAAAAATAAAAATAAAAACAGTCTTGCCATGTATAATAATCTTGTAAATATCTCCTGGTATACATTACAGTTTTCTCTAGAATATTTACTTAGATGTAAAGTTGCTGCTTTTGCTTTCTTAGATAATGAATAATTTTTTCCAAAGTAGTTCCACTGTTTATTCCACAACACTGTGTAAGAATTCGTGTTGTTTTCCTTTTTGTTTTCATTTAATACTGTCAGACATTATGTCAGTCTGATGGTGTCTGCTGATTAATTTGAATGTGTCTGATTCCAAATGAGGTTGAGCATCTTTTCATGTTTATTTACTATTCACATTTTTTCATCTGTGAAATTTGCATTCAGATCCCTTACCCTGGCATTTTCTTGTTGATTCATGAAAGTCATTTATTCTGGATACTAATCATTTGGTTATATATGAATTGAATTGTCTCCTTCAAGTTTGTGACCTGTCCTTTATTTCTATTTATGGTGTTTTTCAGTTTTTAATTTTAGCTAAAGTATATAATCCATTTACATTTAATGTAATTACTGATATATTTTGGTTTAAATACTATCTTACTGTCTATATAACTCTCCTGTTTTATGTTTCTTTTTCTTTGTTGACTTATTTTACAAGTCAATTTTTATTCCATTTTTTCCTTACACCTAACTTGAGTTATACATTCTTTTACTGTTCTTTTAATGGTTAAACTAGAGGTTAAAACATGTGGCCTTGACTTACTTATATTTAATATAAATGATTGTTTCTATCATTTTTCCCAATAATGCTAGAATCTTAGAACACTCTAAATTTCATTTCTCTCCCTCCTACCTTTTCTCTTGTTATTTTCAGATATTTTATTTCCATATATTGTAAACTCCATAATACCTTATTGTTACTGTTTAAACAGAAAAGTCAGTATTTGTCTATACTTACTCATATATTTACCCCCTCATTGTTCTTCATTCTTCCCTGTAATTTTGCATTTTCTTGGAATTATCTTCCTTTCACTTGAAAAACTCCGTTAGTATTTCTCTAACTGCAGGTTTATTCGGGATAAATTATTTTCTGACTTTTCTAAAATTTTTTCCCTCTGGGCTAACTTTCCGACTTTTATCTCTGAACTTTAGTTTGGACATTTTCTATTGACCTATCTTTCAATTCACTCATCCTATGTTCTACTATTTTTGATCTGCTGTTAAACCCATCCACTGAGTTCCTAGTTTCATATTTTGTGTTACTTAGGT